TGTAAGATCAGAAATCTGTTGTGGTCCAGGTCAATGCCATGGCTGCGGAGTAAAGCCCCCACCTCTTTAAATGTGGCCTTTTTGCCATTGATATGGTAGGCTGAAGAATTGTCTTTGTTTGCCGTCCTGGAAACATAGAACTTGCTGCTTGGGATGACTTCGTATTCATCTCCTTCCTGCCTCGGCGGGGAGGGGCAGAAGACACAGAACAGCTTAGTGCACGAAAGTTCAGGAGAAACTCTTAATGGCTCTACACATCAAATGACACTCATAGTGCTGACAGACCCACTGAGGGGGCTCAGAGAAATGGGCTGCACATTAACAGCAATTTAGAAGAAAAAAAAAAGCTCAGCCAGCTACACTAGCATGGGAAAATACCATATCAATTATTATGTTACATTTACAAAAATTCCAAAACATGTTACACATAATAATGTGAATCATAAATACATTTCAAAAAGGTAAGTTTGTTTGTATGAAAATGTATAAATTTCAAAACAAGTGGAATAATCAAAGTTGTGTACACCTCTTACTAAAACATATTTTTCAAGTTTAGGAAATGGCCGATTGTAAAGCCTGCAGAATTCATAAAACTTTGTAATTAGTTTGATAACTTGATTTAAATTTACTGTTAACTACTGGACCAAAGAGAAAGGCATAAAAAATAATTAACCTTAGTCGAGTCAAAATGTACACCCCCCTGTGGCAGATCAAATACAGAAACTTGTTTAACACCAATTGCTAACATTTACAGTTAGTTATTAAAGTAATGTGTGATTTAATACAAATAATAAATGTGTCTCTTAATACACAAACACATTTGATGGACTATTAATAGTTTAATCAAATAAGCAGAGCTTAGTATCTAAATGGAATATTTTCAAAATGTTTAAAAATAGATTAAATCAATTGTAGCTCATAATGAATTGACTAAGCCATGTGTGGGTGTTAATTGTAACTTTCATGACTGCTTTCAGTCTGTTAAGTCACTGTTGTGATCACTGTGTAGTAATATTATCTCATGAACATTGAGGAAAATAGATATTTAAAATTCAAGAAAAATATCTGTCCACTAGAATGTATTTCCAATCACCCTTACTGATCAATTTAGGAACGGCCAGGGTGAATTTAGTGTGTATCTGTGGGAGAGATATAAAGATATATATACCTTATCAATTATCTTCTGAAAATGCACCTCCACAGTACAGCTTTGCACATCTTTATGTTTATCGGAGCTGTGAATCATCACTGAGAGCTTTTTTGATCTGATCTTTTGAGCTCTGTAGCCAAACACAAAGAGCATCGAATCTATCACATTGGACTTCCCACTGCCATTCGGACCAATGATGCATGAAAAGCGCTGAGAGAAAGGTGAGAGAGAAGATTAAAAAAAATGTTAATCAATTATATAACAACATACTGCATCCACAAACAAATACTTTAAATGCTATGACATTACAAGTTGTATATTAACATTTAAGCATGATTCATTCATGATTGTGAATGTATCCCAAGTGGGTGTATTTGGGATTTACTTTAATATATTCATATTTAAAGAACAATTAGTGTTACAGAAAAAAAGACCAGGTTTAAGGACAGCCATAATTTATCTTAAATATCAGCACACCCCTTTCTCTACACTCACTGAATCAAAATGGAGTTGTCGGACTTCCACCTTTAATAAAAAAAAGTAACTCAATAGTATGAATAATTATTTTCAATAATACAAATAATAATACTTTACTTTTTTGTCTCTACAATAACGCAAGCCACCATAATAAGGCATTAAAGACAAACACAATCCACTTGAGAAAACCCTCCCATGGTGGGGGCTCTGCGCTGCCCACCACATACCCACCAAGCAGCTCCCCACACGCACGGGCCGATACCACTCACGTGACCGGTGCTCCTCGTACCTTGTGAAAGGGCCCCAGAATCTGCTCGCCTTGGTACGACTTGAAATTGCGATTGACTAAGTGTGTTATCATCAGGCGGGGAGCGCCCGGTTCATTGGTCATCGCTGGGGGCGGGGGCGGAGGGATGCTGCCGAGAATCTCCTCCAAACTTCGGTTATCAACCGCCTCCCCTCCGGACGAATCTGTGGCACAGAACGAAGAAGAAAAAAACAACAACTTTAATTCCTCTGTGCGAGTCGTTTCAGGTGGGGTGGAAGGGAGGGGGGAGGGGGAGGACAGTGCTTCGTGGGGGAGGGGTAGAGGAGCGACAGAAAAAAACAAACAGCAGTCAAACAACGACTACGGAGAACGTTGACAGGCATTCGATGCTTTGTTCTTAAAAACGAGCCTACCCCAAAGAGGTACATATATGATCACACAAACGCACCACGACGCGCGTTTAAACCTGCGAGTAGACGCGCCACATCCCCCCCCGCCCCGATAATAATAAGTCAGTGCACATTTCGATCACCACCGTCACATTTTCACCCAATCTTAGCTGTACTCCAAACGCGCACAGATACAACTGCTGATTTAAAGCCTGAAAAGTTCTCACGTCGCACCGCTTGTATTGGCATCACAGCGACCTGTCCGGAGCCTTTTGTGCTCGCATAAGCATAAACAAGCTGTGGGGTCGATGTTTGCACATCAAACTCTTGCAGCATTTGAACATATTCTAAAGAATGAAATAAAAACCACTTGAGGCCAATATCTTAAGCTTCGCATACACTTTAAACCGCTCAAATCACATTTTATAAAGTTAATAAGAATAACGTCAAACTCCAACATAAAACACTTTGTTATCGAAATAAATTACCTCGGTTTCTGAGAGAATCCGGGGTAGAAAAAGTAACGTTACACTCGACGAGAAGAAAATCATCATCAAATCAAAAATACAAAAAATTCAAAAGAAACGTATTGATGACTGACACTTTAGAAAGAAATTCAAAATCAAACATTCTAACTACGCGTTGAGAGAAAAAAGAGGGGAGGGGGGGGGGGGCGCTTCAAAGCAGCGGCCACTACGACAACACACGCAAAGCCATTGAGCAAACACCGCTCATTGCTAGTCCCAGACCCCCGGTCAGCCTTTGTTACTTGCCGGTGGTCGGCCGTGCATCCTCCCGGCCGTTGGGGTCGGTTTCTTGAGGGGTTCCATCCAGCTCGTCTCCGGAGTCATCGCGGGGCTGCGACCCTTTCCCTCTCGGCTTGGCAGTGGAGCTCTTCGCAGTTTTGGAGGGCATGGTTTGAAATCTTAAGGGGTCATTTGGGGAGAGGGGAGAGGGGGGGGGGCGGTAATATCCATGAGTGGGCTTTTTTTTGTGTCTGTCAATCTCCCAACTCCACTTTGGGTCGGTCCCACGCAGCTACTGTTGTCAAAGCTTTAATCATTACCAGTCGGATCCCACTCACTGCCGCCCGTGTAACTGTTGGTCGCGAGACCCCCCACCCCCTCCTCCCCCAACGGGACCATCTTTTTGTGGGTTCAACCAAAACAAATACAAAGAGAGAATAACGATAACGTATCAACATGAATAAAAAAAACGTTAGAAGTTATATATAAAAAAAGGTCCCTCGGCCTGAGAGCGTTCAACAATCTGCCGGGTGATTGAAGCTAAATGAACTGCCATTCTAACACGAGCCCCAAACCCCTGGTAAAGAATGAATGACCTCCACCTGTGACAGAACGGTTTCCGTTAACGTTACCCGCCCCTTCCTCACTGTGCATCCGAGGCGTTTGATTCGCGCCTCGGAGTCGGACGGTTAATGAACCCTCGCAATGACGAGGAGAGCGGAAAAATAAGGTGAACAGCGTGACGTTGAGAACAATAATATCTCAACAACACGCAGATGGCTTCGTCCTTTACGGTGTAACGCGCGGCACGTTTCTCACTGAACGGGCTTTCGGGTCGATGGTGAAGACTTCGACGTCCCTGGAACTGATGTCACAAGCCCGACGCCGATGTTCACTCTGGTCCTTAACACGTTAATCAAGCAACGTCGCTAGTGGGGAAAGCCCATTGAAACCCCAAATGGAGATTAACTTCAGTTTAACAAATAACTACCGTTCACTGGGTTATAACTACCGTTACGCCTGATCAATAAGGTCCGTAGTAACGCTACCGCAGCTTGCCGTTGGCGAAAGGGTGCCACGTTACTGGATTTTTTTTTCTCCTCCAGTTTGCTAAAGTCGTTAAGTTAGCGGCGGTTGCTAACGGTAACTAGCTGGTGCGAAACAACACAGCAAAGCTAACGGTGAAGCAAACGCGACGGCTAACTAGCAGACGTCTGCGCCGTGGAGCCGCAACGTTCACGCGACACTGTAACGTCAACTGTACTCAAAGTAAACGTAACGTGAACTTAACTAGAATTCAAACGGGCGCTTAACGGCATTTGCGCGACCAACGTAAACTCGAGATGAAGTAGCAAAATATCCAGACAAAGGCATTACAACTAAAAAATGTCTGCAACGAGCTGCACTATTAACATAAAGTTAGCCATTCGGAGAAGTAACATATTACTGGTAGGGGTGTGTCTACGAAAAGGCACAGTTTGCGTTAAAATGAATATATGGCAAAAAAGATAATCTTTCATTGCATTCCAGAGTATTGATAGCGATATTAACGTTTTTCGCCGTTGCTTGTAGTCAAAACTTAGCGTGCTTGTTAATGTTAGATCTGGTCTGGAACAAACGTTATGCATTTCAGCAAATAGACGGAACCCAAGCATTACATTACTCAGAGCTAAAATGTTTTTCAAAGTACCTTCCAAAATATAGGCACAGTGAGTCAAAATTCGCTCTTTGTGACCCAATTCGAGATTTCGAAAAAGTATTCGTTAATCCAATATTTGGCAAATATAATCCACAAAAATTAGCCCCGTCTCATTCCGAGTCGCTCTCTCAGTTGAAAACTCTAACTTGTAAATGGCGCCTAAACTGTGCTGTCGAACCAGATTCGTTACAAACTGACGCAAGGCACCATGGAACGTTCAAAGGGCAGGGGAAAAAAACACCGAATTCAAAAAAGGGGACGAAGCCAACTCCGTTTTGCTCCAAACAAACAACGATCATATGGCAGAGACAAAGAAAACCTCGGAAAGCAACACTATATATTTAAAAGTGTATATGATTCGAGATTGTTGTCGGGTTCGAAAACTTTTGTGTCGAAATATTCAAACGATTGCCTGGTTACAGCAGAACGAAGTCCCGACCAGAGGGAGTTTTTACATTTCATGAAATGCACTTCGATGGATCAACGAGTAATGTTCGTATATCGGATCTAATGAGTGCAGTTAAATACGTCATATTTATTTAACAGACTTCATTTGTACTCATCATTCGAAATTTCCGTTTTCACGGAAGCGATACTTTAAATTCTCGCGAGAAAATTTCTCTTCAGGCTTCATAACTCAAATAACATGGCTACCAGAGATTAGCCGTGATAACGTTAGCAAGGAACTGTTGATTCGCGATGGATAGCTGTGCGCCAAACAACGTGACTTTTCATGCATTTTCTGGCGTAAATAACACGCATACATATGTGGTGGTTTCATATTAAATGTAATGACGACAGAAGGACGTCTTTTTTAACCCGGGAAAAAAAGTTAACATTAGCATCCACGGAGCCGTAACGGTTCGGGGACGTCAGGATTCACCTTAGCAACAGTGACAGGTACCGTAGCAACTGCATACGCCTGTTTACCAGAGCATGCCAACGGCCGAGTTGCCTAATCTACCGGGTACTGTTAAACGTTTGGATTTGTTTGTTCCTGTTTTGTTTTTCTTGTGTGTCGTTTTGACATTGACGTGAAAACATCATCTTTTTAACGCGAGGTATTGCCACTAACTAACTAACTGGTGTTTTGTTTTTAGGCACCAAAGGAGCAAACATACAACATGAGATTGAAAACATCGCTGCTACAGGAACCCAAACATATCCTTTCTACGACGTTGTTGCCTATCGAGCCTCGCGAGCCTCGCGGTTTCTGTACCGTTGAAATAAATGTTATGTCACACGACAAATCTGGGGTCCATTGTTAATGTTAGCACCTGTACAAGTACCCTGAGCAGCGTTGCTAAATAGGAATTGGTAGCTCCGATTGCTTGGTTCGACCTCTCTCTCACAGTTTCTGACGCTAGCACCTTACCTGTACCAATTCTAGAATATATTCATTATTTTTTCAGAAGACCCCCTTTATAGCAGATGATCAACATAACTAAATAACTCCCCCGGATCACTTTTCTTAACAGCAGATCACATAAGGAACTTGTGAGCTGCGTTGGCTGGATCACAGCAGATGAGTTGTACTCATGCAGCGAGGACCACCAGATCCTCAAGTGGAACCTGCTGACCAGCGAGACCAGTCTGGTTGTCAAATTATCAGAGGATATTTACCCCATTGACCTACATTGGCTCCCCAAGACCGTTGGTGGCAAGAAACCAAATCAGACGGAAATCTTCGTCCTTACCAGCACCGATGGTAAGTCTCTTTATTCTCTGACATAGGGCCAATATATCAGTTTTGTAACAGCAAAAACAATTTTCAGTACTATTCAGGGAAAATAAATGAGTGTGAAAACAAAGCAGTGATAACCTTTGCAAATCCATACTGAATTAACCAAACATAATAACTGAAAACACTGTTTTCAGTATAGTTCAGGTCTTTTTATTCCTTCAGCCTTGTTTTACAGTATGATGACAAGTCTTCTTTAATCATTAGTTTGGAGTTTTTATTCATCTAATTCTTCTTTAGTAAGAATTGTGATATTGTAGTTAAAGATTAGTTCTGACTCTAGTTTTTAATTAGGCCTCTAATGTTAAATCGTCAAAGGGGGGATTTTGTTTTCCATCTGTATACATTTGTAATTTCAAACTGAGTTTGTTTGCGGTGCATCCAAATGGCCTACAATGACTCATTTTCAGACTATATTAGATATAAACACACTCATCATATGGATGTACCGTTATGGCAGGCGATGTGTGGTCACAACACTAATGGCAGTGTTGGGTTGCATAAACACACCCACAAACTGAAGCAGCAATTCTCTCTGGCAGACTAGAGAATGAAAACTCTGTTGTGATTCCCTTTTGCAACTTTCTTCTGCTTTTCCTTTGTTAAATATAACATATTTCTATTATTAGAAATACGTTTTTGTTTTTCATTGACCCAAACATGACAATCACCAATTTTGATAGACATTTTGGAATACAACTGTTTCAATCTGATTCACTTTTACCCTGGGGAGCTACAATGTGGTCTTAAAATATATGGCAGACATATTTACCATCAGGAATTCCTCAACAAACCGTATAGGCCATCAATAAAAGTAGTTAAGGAAAACGTTGAGATGTTGTCATTATAAGAAAAAGAAGAAAATCATCTGACGGATAACAAGAGAGCAAGCAAACAAATAAATCGGAACACAAAAACTTTGAACAATTTATTTTGATGTAAGTTTATATGTGAATAGAATTAGAACATATATGGTATATAAAAACAATGGGGTTTTTTTCCCCATTTGAAGTGCATCTGTATATGCTTTATATTCACTACCTGCTGAACTAGTAACTTTAACTTTTGTTGGGATGTCCAAATTTAGAAATGGGGCAGAGCAGCAGCATGCTGATTTGCAGTTTTAGGCCACCAGAAATTACATAGAACGTGCAGAATTTTTTAATACACACTGCCACAAAGTACATGTTAGGCCAGCGTCCTCAATAACTGTCTGTGTCCGATGACCATTCTTGTCTAGGAAATATATCGTTTCCCTAATTCAACCAACAGAAACTCTTAGGTTTGACTCATCCACTTTATGCTCTAACTTAAATTTAGCTTCAAGGAGAACATGTAGCTTTGTTGCTATGTGTGTCAGGGGATTGGTGTTTACTCTTTTTTACATTTTTGAAGTTTAGTTCATGTTGTCATCGGCGTTCTTGATTGGCAAAAAACATGTTCTGCTCATTTGCCTCAGTCAACAACGCGAATCAGCCTGACTTCTGAAAACAAGGCCTCTGCTGACGAAACCCACATGGTGGCATAGAATTACTGCAGTGCGGGCAGTGTTCCTCAATTAAAGACTGTAAATCCGGCCTGCTGTGGAATTGCCGTACAGTAAGCCTCTTTTTGTCTCTTTGCAGGGAAGTTCCACCTGACCACCAAGATGGGGCGCATCGAGAAGAGTGTAGAGGCGCACAAGGGAGCTGTTTTGGCTGGAAGATGGAACTACGATGGAACTGCTCTTGTTACGGGTGAAATGTCAAGGACATATTTTCATCGATGTTTAAAACGTGTATGAATTAATTGAAACCTCTTTATATGATATCCATTAATCTGTTTATTTAATTACTTAGCTGGAGAGGACGGGCAGATTAAGATCTGGTCAAAAAGCGGGATGCTACGTTCAACACTAGCCAGCCAAGGTAATGCAGAAGGCAGAGGCTTCATCTACTGACTTTGAGCCTTGTATGTATCTAGATCTTATGTCAAACTATATATTATTCTATATTTATTTTCACTGTTTCAACAATCACCAAACCTGGTTTGAGCGTTTGAATGTGAAATTGAATAGTAAGTGACAGATATATAAAAAAAAAAGTAACCACTTTTTTTGCTGTTTCATGGGTTCTTTAGGCCAAAATCTATTGGCCGTATTTTTAACGTATTTATTGCCTATTTTTAATTTACAATTCTCAAAGTTTTGGTGGTTAAAGGTTATTAAAGTTAGAGTTTTAGTCCGGTATAGTTCAAAGCAGGTTTTATCCATGACATCTGCCAGCCAGCCGCAGAAGCAACGTAAAGCCAGTCTCTGATCAACAAGCTGGAGTCATTTAGCAAACACAACATAACGACACCAATTATACTCTCTCTCTCTCCTTCTCTCTATCATACACAATACTGATCGCTTTAGACGGACCATCTGGCTCAAAGAAGGCGTCTTGTGATAGGGAAGAAAAAAAAAGAGCTAGAAGCAGAGACCCAATGGAGAGGAGCAGGTACACAGGGCAGCCGTTTCATTCATGGGTTTGGGGGAGCCTTCTGCTTCTTCTCGGGCTTTGACACCAAATGAATCACTTCTGCAGATGAGCCTTTCCATTCCACTCGTACACATGGTCCCTGATGGCAAATGAACAGCCACACATCACATTTTGTTTCAACTCGTTTTTAATACTTTTCTACACTCGTGGTGTGCAATGATATTCGTTTTCTTCTCTCCTTGTCTGTGGGATTGTTTGCGTACCTGCCAAGCTTATTGATGAATTAATTGTACTCAGCACATCCAAATGTTCTTTTTTCTTTTTGCATGAGAGTAGAGTTTATCTTAACTTCAAAGGCTCCTAATGAAACATTTTCTATCCAGCATTATGCACTCTGGAAAGCCTGGCAGGGGAAAAGCAGCCCAGCCCCAGTAGTTAGCAACATTTTCTTTCCTCAACCGGTTGTTTGGACATTTAGGTCCTGGTCCTTTGTGTGCGGCTGCTCAAAAGACCCAGAGATTACCCTTGAAAAAGTAGCATAGCCGCAAATGCACATCATCACACCCACTGCACTCAGATCACTGCAGGTGTTGCTTTTCTTGACAGCCTACAGTTCAATAAACACACACACACACACACACACACACACACACACACACACACACACACACACACACACACACGTGCTACGGGAGCAGGCTGTTCATCTTGGGTTACATGACCTATTTTGAAAGAGCGAGAGAGAGAGCTGTAGAACCAGGTTGGGACTGAGTGAGCAAGAGGGAGGAGAGAGGAACTTGCCTCAGCCCCTCTCATTGCCTTTGTCGGGTTTAGGTCATGTGACCGGTTGGCATTTGTAAGAAACCACATGCACCTGGAGTGGGGGTTAAATGGCAGGTCCTCTCCCCTCCGCACGTGCATAGCCGCAATCCGACACACACGTTTCCCTCACACATGTGCACGTAAGCACACACATTTGTGCTCATGCTGCAAAGGTCATGTTAGGTTTTCACAGCAGCTGTGTTTGCAAGCTAGGGGATCTGTGAAGGAATTTGATAACTTCTGAGAAGAGGTGTTAATACTAATGTATCCTAAAACTGGTTTTATACCAACTCCTGATTTGTCAGAAGAGGTGGGGATGAATTACTATGGTGTGATAATACTGTTTTAAGTGTTACATGAACATCTGCCTCTTGGGACTACAGAAATGTTTTGTTTTTTTCTTAATGTCCCGTGTCAGATTAACCAAAGAAATGAAATGTTTATGTTTGTGGCAAATGTTTGGGCATCTTCCAGGGTCTCCTGTGTATTCTGTGGCTTGGGGTCCAGACTCAGGCAGAATCCTCTACACGTCTGGAAGACAACTGGTCATCAAGCCGTTGCAACCCAGCGCCAAAGTCATACAGGTACACTAACTTGATGTAATCTTTTAAGAGGTCAAAATCTGTGACTTGAGTCAATTCCGACTCGATTCAATATGTCATAATACCTAGTGTACCCCATAATAAACCACCCAATTAACTCACAACAAATATATTATTGGGTAAAAAGTTAAGAAAAGTCTGGTAATAGCATACAGTATCACTCAATGCTTTGAATTTCCCTTCCTTATGAGGCCTTTTCTTAATTCTCGCTGATTTGCATAGCTAAATGAAGTTCAAATAAAGGAATACAAATATAATGGACCTATATGTCTAGGAGTGCTCACTGCACTGAAGGGTCACAGTATAGGGAGGATTTTGCACACCAGTGAGTACATTTCTTGTTCATGTCTACATATGTTACATATGTAACTGAATACCACCTGAGACCTTAGATCTGTGGAACATTAATGTACGCCTTCCTCAGCAGTTGCCGCACAACACACAGATCATATGCTGGGATGCACGTGCACGTTTTATGTGCGTCAGGCAGCCTGAGTAAAACATGGGTCTGAAATTAACTGACTTGGGAACCTGTTTAAAAGGTGAATGAAAAACCCAAAAGTGGATTTATTTGAGATCTGTGGACAGCATCCCGTTTTGTTGTGTAACTTTCTCTTTCTCTCGCTCTCCCCCGTCTGTCTCTCTAGTGGAAGGCTCACGATGGGATTGTCCTAAAAGTGGACTGGAATTCAGTTAACGATGTCATACTGTCAGGTGGAGAAGACTGTAAATATAAGGTGAGTTGGGTTTGAGTATATTTTTAGATGTGTAGTGGCCGTTTTTTATAATTCACACCATGTCCTCCCTTAACAGGTATGGGACAGCTTTGGTCGTCTGCTTTACTCGTCGTTGTCTCATGACTACCCAGTCACATCTTTGTCGTGGGCTCCAGACGGAGAGGTGTTTGCCGTGGGCTCCTTCAACACCCTGCGGCTCTGTGACAAGACTGGAGTAAGCAAAAGCCTATTAGCCTTTCATTTTATACACATAAATGCATATGGTAAATATATAGACATTCACATTGGAGAGGAGGAGGTTGCTGCTTAGTGGAACAGCACACTGCAGGATTATAAACGGAAAGATGTTAACTTTCATTAAATCTATTTTCCTTTCTCTACTGGTATAAATTCTTTCTAAAGAGACGGGTGCAGGATGGGGTATTTTTGTAGGCAAGCCTCAGAGGTTAGCATCGCACTGGTTCCTTCACGATACTCATGCACCACGAGCATGCACAAAGAGGCTGTGAAGGCCCACTAGTCGGCCAGCTGACCTTTTGTAGTATCTGTTACCAGCAGCCTTTTATAGGACACATAAAAGCTTCAAAATGCACGATGGGGGGTATTAATTGATGTATTTGAAATCGTCAAAATGTCTTCTGCTTCTTTTCCCCACAAACCTTGTTTTAGCCATCTAAACCTGAAACCTGTTGACTTTGAAATGAGCGAACCGCAGTTGCAAAACGCCAACTCCTTCCTGGGGTTCGGGAGTCATTCCTGCAGCACTCATGTGCATCTTGCATTAACAATGCCGTTAGCAGTCCTCGGTCTAATTCCCTCTTTCCCACATGAACGAGCCCTGTTGAAATGGTGATGCCAACCGTGTGTCATTGTGTTACAAAGTAATGGATGCTATTATTCTGCCATCTGTACTTTTGCTTGATGAAATGTTTTTTTTGTTGATAAAATGATAGATGTGCAGCTTTAAGGGGCCAGCATGGTCCTTCTGAACTGCTGCGCTGAGGGTCGAAGAGTTGTGCAAACCGCACAAACACCTCCCCAGCGTCCGCGGACCGCGTAATATCAACCTTTTCACATACTGCAAGCCTGTTCTGTTACTACATTTTCTTCTTCTCACCTACAAATATATAATTTATGCTCAGTCCTTTGAAACGTACAGTATCCGTGGTACACTGTTATCTTGTCTGGATTTCACCTCTATAAACCACTTCAGGCTAAATGCAGCATGTTCTTGTTCCCTAGCGCTGATGTTAACTGGACTTATATTGAGAGGGGAAATGAAGGAATGATGAATGGTAATTGTTTTTTTATTATTGCTTAACGTATGGCCACGAGCAACACTAATAGTTCCCTGCTCTGCATTGACAGGACGTTTAGGGCTTGGTGATATCTGTGTCTTGCCGCGTTGGACTTGTTGTAATGAAAAACCCTCACCAGGGCTGGGTCTTTGTGCGTGATCACAAGGCATTTCATGGCCCATTTTGGTTTCATTACGATCCAATTTTTTTTGTGGAGCACTAAAACAAATGGGCTGCGGAGAAGTCTGAGTCAACACATATGTCCTCTCCAGAGGGACAAGGTGTTTGTTTTGGAGCGTTTGCTTTCATGTAATGTGTAAAGCATGACCTTTCCGAAGGGCGACGTTATCCTTAACCATTACATTGGGTTTTTGGGACGGGTAGTTTGGGGAGAAAATTGACGAACCAAAGCAATAAGCTGATGAAATCAATGAAGCCAGGATGCATCTCTGTGTAAACCGAAGTAGAATTGTACTATTGAGACTATAACAGAGAGAACTGAGCACCACGTTCTCCTTTATTTCTTACCATACACGCTCCCACTATGGGTTTGTTTACGCGGTCGGGTTATTCCATTGTTTCGTGGGATGCTTTGCTGTGGTGTCTCTTGGTTAGGACAGTGTGATGAAGATCATGATGATGATAATTATGATGATTATGGTTCTGCCCTCCTATAAGTGGAGGAAGGGCTTGCCTTCTCCTCCCTAAGCCCCTCAGAGACTGTGTGCACTGTAGCATGGCGTGGGAGGCTTGACAAAGAAGGGGGGGTGGAGGGGAATCCCTCCTTCAGACTTACTCTCCGTTCACGTATCTAGTTAGGAGACCGTTTGATCTGTATATGTATGCACACTGAAATATAATCACTACAAATCTCATCGCGCATGTGAGTTTGCCCACAAACAGTCATTACCCAATCACAGCGGCTGTACCTGCGTGGTTGCTGCGGTCTGTTGGCGGCGCTGGGAGGGTTAAGCAGTGCGACGAGCCCCTTCAGTTACTAGCATGTCTAATGGGAAGGAGTTTCATTCTGTATCTGCTACAATGAAACCTTGCACTTTAACGCATTGCTGCCGGCTCAGCAGGATCAGTTCTGCGCATTTAACCCTTTCACCTCCGGTCCGGCTCAGTTCTCGTCTAACGCTAACTCCTAACTTTCTTCTACGCTTTTCCCCGTTTCTCCTGCAAATGGTCTCACTACACGCACCACAGGACAGATGTAGTGCGTTACCCCCCTCATTATCATCGTAGAGTCAGGGTTAGTGTGTGTGCACAGACACAGGCACACTCACACACTCAAAGTTTACATTGAGGCAAAAGTACTGTGAAAGGAATTCATCTTGTTGTTGGAGCAAGCCACTCACGGACTAAACAAAAACTTTTTTTCTGTTCTGTTTGGTTTGCCCATTAGTTATTATTGAATGCATTATTCAATTATTAGTATATATTCCATTATTTTATAACTATTTTAGTTAGTCATTCTTGTTTGTGCACTACGTTTTCTTTTCACAGAAGCTTTAACAGGACACAAAGAGGTTCACTGTCCCTTTTAAAAGATTTGGGAGAGACAATAAGTCAGTGTCTGTGTGTGCGCCTGCCATATTAAATGCATGTGCCCACATGCCTGTGTATCTGTGTGTGTGTGTGTGTGTGTGCGTGTGCGTGCGCGCAACCATTGCCGTGCAAATGTGCCTGCGAGACAGCGGTCTATTTACGAGGCGCTGCAGCTGGTGTCTAGCGTCTGGACCCTGTCACGATCCTTGACACTGTCACTGGCTAACAAGTAGGACTCATTGTGCCAGGCGAGCGCCCTCCGTTCACTCCGCCTCCCCCGCCATCCTTCTTCTCTTCACGCTGCTTGTCTTTTTCACCCCACTGTGCACCCAGCTATTACTTACATTAATGTAATAGCTGCTTGTTTGTTTTTTTACAATATTTGATGTACTGTTTTCTTCCCCTCTTTTAAAAAAAAAAAAACTTGGTTTGATTAGAAATGATGTTGAAAAAAGAAGCAACGGTTCTACTTTTCCTACGGCACAGATGGACAGTATATTGTCCCAAGAACTGCTCAAAGTTCAGTGTTTTGCTCAAAGTCGTAAGCCGGACCAAATCTTTTAATCAAAGCCAGAATTCAACCGAGCTCTCTTCCCATATCAGTCTACCCAGTCTGTACTAGGTCATAGGTGCAACAGCTACTCTGTATTCTCCTTCCCCCTTGTCAAAGAGATACGAGCACGCTTTCCTTAAAGTGTAAAGTATCTTGCTGCACATGCCTGCCTCCTCCCTATCTCCGAGTGTGTTGGACTAGCTCGTGTTCATCACTGCTCCCCCTCTTGGCTCCCTCTCTCTCCTGCCTTCCCCGAGGCCCTCTTTACCTCCTTTTTTTTCTGGCACGGTCCAGGGGGTCCCCCCGCGGGTCTTTTGTGATCCTTGCTCAGCATTACCACTTTGGGAATTGGACCATGTCCAGCTGGAATCACCATTGCTCTCCTCTGTCTGTCCCCCCCCTCCCTCTTTAACGTACAGCCGCATTCACTATAGTATCTTTGTCCGCCCTCCTCACGGCTGCCAACCATTGTTTTCTCTCAAACTATCCGTTAGTCTGTAAGTCTTCTTGTGGTCTTGTCCTCTGTGACAAGGCAACTGCCAGATTGCAGGCGTCTCTCACTTGTCAATGACTCAATGCTCTATCATCTGGAAGCGTATACCTGCGCCTGTGCTGGTAGTTTACTGCCAACCGCTGGCTGGTCAACATCTGGAAGTTGCTGCTGCTGCTGGAAGAGAATAAAACGGTCCAGAGCTCTGGGTCTGATTGTGAAGCACTTTCAGTCAAAGCCATTGTAGATTCATTAGACTGAAAGGCTTTATCTGTTGTCACCACATAAGGAGGAGACGTTTTGCACGGCGTTGTTCTTATGAAGAAAAAATGTTGGAAGTGGCAGCAGATGTATGATAGGGAGCCGATCACATGGAGGATGGGGGATGGAAACACAAGTGAGTGGGATTTACGTAGGTCCAAGTGAAGTTATCAGAGAGAGAGAGAGTGAGATAGAGAGAGCAAGAGAGAGAGAGAGAACTAACAAAGAGAGTCCTGAGTCAGCAGCAGAGCAGTTTTTTTTTCTCTCCGGGCAACTAGGCAGGGCTCCACTTTCTTTGCCCCTCCCTCCCCTTACAGTACTACTTCTGCATGCTACTAGTCCCTCTCTGCACTCTTCCTTTCTCTCCGTCGCTCCGTGCACTGTGGACGGGTCGAAAGAGACCACAAGTTCTGGAAATGGCAATTGGGGTCCAGCTCGCCCTTCAGAGCGATCTTCCATCATTGTTTTCTCTCTCCTGTTTTCACAGGAATCATTTTACTGATTTATTTTCACACATTTTATGAGGTTTCCAGGGCCTATTCCATCCCTGGTAGTGTGAACGGCCTACGACTGCATATTGCAGTACCCACATGAAATACTTCAATACTATCATCCCAAAGAACTTATCAGCTTCCTTCGAGTAACGTGGAGGATAATGGTGCCTCCTTTTGTCTTTCAGTTGCTTTGTGCTGAACAGGCTTTGGTTTTCTGTTTTGCTAGACTTATTCTGGCACCCTCTATGGAACAGTGTATACTATACGAAGGTCCAGATGATTGACCTCATTTTTTGTGTGTGTGTGTGTGTGCGTGCGCATGTGAGTCTGCGTGCGTGTGCGTACGTGTGTGAGAGCCGGTAAAAGGCACTTGTTGACATGGTAATACTTTTACACCTCTCTAGAGTTCGGCTAAAGGCTCGCCTTGTTGGAAACCAAAAAGGAGGGGAGCATGAAAAGGAGCTGAGAAAAGCGAGCAGTTGGAGGGGTGGGGGCGGGGTATGGAACTGTCCAATATATCCTGTAAAGTTGGCCTCAGCAGTGAGGCTTGGAGGATTGGTCTCCATA